TCAACTACCTACTTATAGTTTTAAGTATAGTTAGTAATAATTAGAAGTACCTAAGTATTGTTTTAATATTTTAACGTATTATTATGGTTTCATTCCCATTGAAATAGTGGAATATTTTGCAAACCAAACGTTTTTATTTAGACCGATTTTAACGACTGGTCGGTCGACCAGTTGGTCAACTAGTCGAGCAACAGATCGATCTATTTATAAAGATCTTATGAGATTTAAATTTATTATGTATTATTTTTAATACACAAATATCAATACTCCCGCCATATGTTGTAGCTCAGTATATTGACAGAGGAATTACAATATCTGATAGTACTATCGGAGCCACTTGACAACACTCTCTGTGTTTACCTACTCTGTAACCTCTATATAAATTATATTTGCTTTGTATTTTTCGCTGTTTACATAAATTGCGACATATTTAGGTTCGTGATAAAAATACGAGTTAAAATATATTATGTATGTATGGAAATAGAAAATAAGTATTTTATTTGTATTTTCATATGTCTGTGTTAAAAAAATATCAATTTTTCATTTCGTGTTCAATACAAATTCAAAATTGTAATTATAAATATATAAAACATAAGTAAAAATATTATTGAAAAAAATTTCGATGCTATTTTACTATAAATATATAATAAAATAATAGTAATTTCCATACATTTATTAATTCAAATTACATATAATAGCAACATTTTGATACAAAAATAAATTCCATGAAATCCAATTCGATTATTATATATATACATATAAATGTATATTTATTACATAATAATCTATATCTACATTCATCTATATCTATACCCAACTCAACAAAGCATCTTTCATTCTTTCTCCGTGTGAACACCCTGTATAACTCAAGTCTCATACAAGGAGTCTATTAAGATGTTCTTATCAGAACAGACGCTGTGATATAAGCAACAGCTGATACATATTGAAAAACCAATAGTTATACAAGATAGTTGAAGCTAATTATAAAAGACTAGTTTTTGAAAGCGACTTCGTCTGTTTTAGTTTCGGAATTAGAAATATATAGCTGCCCGGACGAACTCTATTTCTCCTTAAAGACTGTAGATAAGATTTTGGATTTTATCAAATATTTTTGATTTTTAATCGGATGAAAAGTATCCGATATAGTTTTCTTGTTCTAAGCTATCTCTCCACCAATTTTCAGCCAAATTCGTACAGCCGTTCTTGAGTTATAAATAGTGTAACTAATACGACTTTCTTTTATATATAAAGATTAAATTCAAGCAAATAGTTTTTTATATAATATGTAATTGGTTACTTAATATGTATATATATCTTTATAAATACATATAAGCTTTAGTAATGCACTCAAAAAACTATATATTTAATGTAAAAAGACACTAAAGTTCATCTTAAAAAAGTTACATAAAAACTAAATCCTTCTCATCCCAAGTAACATAATATTCTTGGCGAGTAAAGCAGATTAACGCATACCGTACAAAGGGTCTGATAATATGGTTGACCGATTTAACTAGACCCATGCAAGTTATTGAGGAAAAAAACAAAATTAACACGACCTAATAACTACATATACATATAAAACTATATTTACGGCGTTCCTTTGAAGAACCTTATTTATGTCACCTATTTGTTTACCTAAATACACTAAATTCAAAGCTTTCGAATAATGAATGTTTAACAAAAAAATGGATAAGCTTCTATTTGTTAAATGACCAACGCTTCTGTAACTCTACACTGAGCTAGTCCGATTTAATCCGATTTAATCCGATCATCGGCACGTCAAATCCGATATTATGTAGCTACCGATTTTAATACACTATACATCACTTTTATTCTATGGTTTAAAGTCAAAATAATGACTATTTAACATTGGATGTTCAATAAATAATTATAATTATGTTTATTTATATGTAAATGAAATTCTTATTTTATTTAGAACTAGCTTTCCGCCCGCAGCTTAGCCCGTGTGGAGTTCGGTTATATCGCGTTTCCAAGAGAACCTTTCAAAAGTCTGGGATAAAAACTATCCTATGTTCTTTCTCAAGGTCAACTCTATCTCTGTACCAAATTTCATTAAAATCAGTTCAGTGGTTTAGGCGTGAAAGCGCAACAGACAGACAGACAGAGTTACTTTCGCATTTATAATATTAGTAGGGATATTTTTAAGAATGTTCTAGATATAAAAAAGTCCATTAGATTTGTCAGTGATATCCAATGTGCGGCGCCTACCGGAGTGTTAAACTCTTACAAAGGAGGTTTTATAATAATCAAAAAGGAGTTTTTATTATAATCTTCTTTATTTTTTTGTTACATCTTTGTCGGCGACGATGTGACATGAATGTGAAAAAAATTCTTTTCATGTGACAGAACAATTTCACGCAATTTGTCAAACATTTTGTTGTGCTTTTCGATGTTTATACCTCATTGTGTTTTCGCTACCGTTTCTTAACGCTTTTACATAAAACTATATTTATATACATATTTAAACGTAAGTTTTTTTTTGGGATTAATATGTATTACGTTTAAAATTTAAATCTATTTCATTACTCACACAAACACACACACACACACACACACATATGTATATTGTATACTAATTGAAATAATTAGAAAACAGGTCAATTTTAACTTAAGGGAAAAGTCACGAGAAACATGTTTACTTTTCTATCGGTTCAATTAGTACTACCCTACTTGATGAAAACTAAGATGTCTGGTAGACATAACAATTTTTACTATTATTGATACTTCTAAACCGGTTCTTATGTAGTGTTGGAATATTAAGATGATTTAACAAAGAGGTTTTATTAAATAGTACATATATAAGATATATCTCAAGATAACGATATTAATATTGTGATATGTTTTTATTACTATATACCTATTAGTGAAATAACAAAAATAATGCTTAAATAGTCTTCTTTAAATAATAATAATTGAATAAACGTTCCCTACCTATAACAAACTCCTTCATGTTTTTTCTATATAGTACTTAAGATTATAATTCGTCCAACAAATAAAAACATTGACATTGGCAAAATATTCCATGATTTTAGTGCGAATGAAGCCATATTAAGGAAAATTCTTTTATATAATTATTATAAAATACGTATTAATATAGTATTTAGTATAGTATTTAGTATAGTATTTAGTTTAGTCCTTAATTGTAATATGTACTTACCTAATAATAAACTATGTGGTTAATTTCTTATACCTACATAAAATTACAAGTAGATAGGTATATTATATATATGTATATTATTTTTTCCTTTATAGCCATACCTTATATTAAAATATGTAGTATATAAAAGAATGACAAATAATTAAAAAATATAATTTAAATTCGAGATAAGAAGAAACATTATTGATATAAAATATTACTTAGTTAAAGTATTTCTCATAATTATAAAACATCGATAAAAGGAAAATGCGCAATAAATATTGTATGGATAGAAACAATGGAATTAATCCACTGACCGGATACGGCTGGACACCGGAAGTGAGGGGCCATCCGGATGTGAGGAATGTTATTGATTGCGGAATAACCTTGAATGGAAACAGTCATCAATATATCAATAGGAATAATAATAATTAATTAGAATTTCTTTCATAGTAATAATATTATATGTATGATTAAGGAGAAAATTACTTAAATAAGTATATAAAAGAAAATACATATATACATCTATATTAAGAATATAGGGTAACTAAAATATATGAAGATCAAAAAATATTACCTTAAAACGTATAAAAATACAATCAAAAAATAATCTACAATTAACATCTATTATTTTAGCTTTAAAAACATTTCCCATTGATTCCGAAGCATCCGGCTATCAGCAATGACGTCATTTCCTTGCAATAATTATCACCAAAAAAAGGCTTATCTAGTTCACAAGCATCTGCAGACTTACACTTCCTCCCAAAAATCCTTAAACAATCTTTATTACAAACGTATAAGGACTCCTTTGATTTTTTATTTTTAATCTGCAAAATCAACATCTGCGAAGATAACCTTTCTATTTTATCTGTGACGTTAATGACGTAAGAAACATTTGGCGCCAAATTTCTTGACATTTTTTTTTGTAACCTCACACATAGCTGTCGAGTTAACTAGATATTAATTGATAGGTAGAAAGCCATTCATTATTATAAAGTAAAAAAATAGATATATTATTTAAAAAATAACTTTATTTTCTTTCATTTGTACGTTATTTTTAATATTAAAGCAATAAAATCTCATTTGGGATACAATTATGGAGAATTAAACAACATTTTTGATTAGCATAAATACTTTTTACATTCAAACCTCTTTTCTAAACGGAACAAATAGCTACATAGAATTATGAATACAAATTAAAAATTCGATAAAAAATATAAATTTGTTAGCTTGTTAATTTGATATGAATGCCAGATAAGGGTAATTATGAGCATTTAGCTATGTAAGATGGGGTAACTGGTAACTAGTTATGTTATGTTTAAAACAAAACATGAGATCAACAAGGCAAGATTAAAACGCCGTGGTAAAAGAGACCGCGGTACTAAAACATAAATCATGCTCATTATATTCGAACAGGATTATTTTTTATCGAAGAAAATGTTCAAAAAAGCATCAAAAGGCTATAAGGGGGGCGCCATTTTGTGAGGGTAAGGTATAGCAGGGCGGGAAAATGGGAAGCTTTCGACCAATCGCTGGTTTAATTTTGAAAAGGCGTTCTAAAATCCGACCAATAGCGTCACGGCTGGTGTGATCATGCGCTTTGGAGTCGATCCATGGACTTATAGATATTATACGGCAGTATGGGCTTGGCCTTTGACGTGGAAAGATGTGCGTATAGACAATACTTTAAATTAACAATGAATTTACCAAATCTGAAGTGATGTATCACAGTGTTTATATGAAAACTGGCAAGTTTAAAACATTATAGCATTATATATATAGTGTTTATCTGTGTATTATAGTCGAAGTGTTAGATTCTCATAGTAATCAGCTATCTACAGTGATGGTTATGGCCAGCGGCGGTGGCGGGCTGGTTCAGTCCCCGCCAGACATGTTGCACCATCACAACATTATGGACACTTCCTCCCATGTTGAAATGATGCCCAGTGAGTTCATATATATATATAAATATAATGCAACGTCATTTTGAAAGTATGACGTTTTTTTTTAATTTCGTCTGTAAATAGGTTAAGGTTTTAGATCATTCAGCCAATTGTTGGGTTAATATGAATAATGCAATGCCATTTTGAAGTATGACGTTTTTTTCTTAATAATTTAGATTTTTTTACAGACTAAGGTCTTAGACCGTTCAGCCACTTATTGTTGTTTTTTTTAATAATATATGTGGACAGTAACTTATAATGTAATGTCATTTTGAAGTATGGCCTTTCTGTTTCTTCGAATTTCGTTTTAACATACGCTAAGGTGTTCCATTCTGCCAATTATTGTATGATTTTTTTTTCATAATAATATGCTTATGTATAGGCAAAGTTTTGCACAAAGTTATTCTGCCGTGTTATAATTTTGGTGTTCTTTTTTTTGCAAAAAATCTACTTACTAAAATTACTTTAATTTTTAATTACATTTTCTACTATAGATCACATTAAACCCAGATACAATTACAGTTCTTTTATTTATATTAAATATTTATTTTAAACAAAGACCAAAGAAAATTTTCCATTAAATTATCATAATAAAAAATACATATTAAATAATCCTTTTATTCAAAATAAAAAGGAATTACTAATATATCAATAAACCAATGTTTCCGATAATGTATTTTTCTAGTCTGATTGATTCATTGAGCAAGGGTGAATCTACCCGCTATTACTTCAACCAACGGGGGTTGAGATTTATTGAGGAAACCTTATAAAATAACGAAAATAAAGTATTACTATAGAAATATATATAAATATTAACCTTTCTTATTTAAATCGTGTATTTTTTTATTAAATTAAGATTAATATTGTAAGGTACAATTTAATACATGATAAAAATTCGTAATGACTCTACAAAGTTCTAGAAAATTCTACAAACGTAATTCATTGGACACATTTTTAGTGAAATTGTTAGTTTTTTTTAAATAATATTATATTACTTAAAAATTAATTCCATATCAAAAAGATCTCACGACATATTTATCATACATTTTATAATATAATTTATATGTAGAACTATTCATTCTAATGTTTAGTATTTAACGTGTAACGAAACAATGAACACACACACACACACACATATATATAATAAAATCTTTTATAATCCGTCCGTCTATAACTCTACGTTTCAACAATCATTACATTTTTATCTTGCTTAGATCACATTTTTTTGACAAAAAATTAAATTCTAATTACCTGTATCTCACTTTCGATTTTTTTACTGATAATAAAATGTCTGATAATAAAGACTATAGTGTATTTAGAAAAAAATCATTTGATATACTTACATTTAAATAAAAATATTTTTTTTTCATAATAAAACCAGAATTAAGAGACAAAATCTCTAAAGGAAAATTCATAAAATACATTGTTTAACAGAATTTCCTTGAAGCTATTACGAAATACGTGAATATTAGCGAATAATTTAACCTTTTAAAGTTAACTCACTAACAGTTAAAACAAACTAACGTTTACTTAACCGGTATTAAACCCAGTCCGGTTTAACCATAACCATACGTCAGTTAAGAAATAACTAAAAAATAAATCCCTACTAATATAATAAATGCGAAAGTAACTCTGTCTGTCTGTATGTTACGCTTTCACGCCTAAACCATTGAACTGATTTTAATGAAATTTGGTACAGACATAGAGTTGACCTTAAGAAAGAACAGGATAGTTTTTATGCCAGACTTTTGAAAGGTTCTCTTGGAAACGCGATATAACCGAACTCCACGCGGGCGAAGCTGCGGGCGGAAAGCTAGTATTATATAAAAATATATAAAATTTCATATATAAAATGAACTAAAAGTAACCAAAAAAAAAAGTATAATCTTTTAACTGAAACCACATCAAAATCAGTTTAAACAACTTAACCATTCAATTTCTTTAGCTATATATTTGCCCCCGGTTCTGCCTGCAGGTAGAAATGATACTTTTTAGCTTCCTACCACGATCCGGTGGTCCAATAGTTATACGACCACCAAAGCATGTTTATGGTGCGAACTCAGTAGCATTCGCACCTACACCCTAAACACATCAAAGGTACCGACACAAATATTTGGTACATTCCCGACATCCTAATAGATTGACCGTTTATTTTTGGTTTTTATCAATAATAATATGTTTAAATGAAACTAATATTTTGAGATTTACTACGCGATTTTTATTTTTGACTAGCTTTAGGAAGTGAAGTTCGGTTATATCGCGTTTTCAAGGGAACCTTTCAAAAATCTGGCATAAAAACTATCCTATGTTCTTTCTCAAGATCAACTCTATATCTGTACCAAATTTCATTAAAATCAGTTCAGTGGTTTAGGCGTTAAAGTGTAACATACAGACAGAGTTACTTTCGCATTTATAATATTAGTAGGGATTATAAACTACATACTCCCGACGTTTCGGTTACTTTACAGCAACCGTGATCATTAAGACGAGATGTGAGTGTCTGTCAGTCGGTCTTGTTAATAATAATATATTTTTAGGGCGTTTTTTTGTCCTAAATACAATTATATTGAATACAAAAAACATATCAGGTAATTATTGTTTCCATTAAATTGTAATTTGAGTTATAATTTTATATATATGTATGTATGTCTTTTCGTTACGCTACAATACTGTATCATATAAGAGTATTTAGACTTCACTGACATATGAAGGAAAACATCGTGAACAAACCTGGACTTATCACAATTATAAGTTTGAAATCATCAACCCGTCTTGAGCGAGCGTGGTAATTAATGCTCAAACCTTCTCCATGTGAGAAGAGGCCTTGCTCAGCAGTGGGCTCTGATAGGCTTAAAAAAATATTAATAATATATTTGTTTTTGTATTGTATATACATATATCATATGTATAATAATTGAAGATAACTGAAAGTGGAGAAAGTGTAGTGAAGAATATGTGTATACAATTTTTCAACTATATTGAATATTTATGTTCTAGGAATTAAATGAAATTGAATTTTTATTTGAGGATTTATTTAAGTAATTATATCTGTACCTATATTCGAAATATTAAGATACTTCATCAACACAGTCCCTTAACTTATAAACAAACGATTAAACTATTTAAATGTAAAAAAATAACTATATATATATATATAGATATATTGTGTTACATTTCATTGATATTAAAAACAAATTTATTTGTTAAAAATTACGTTAACGATTTTTGTGATTAATTCCGTTTTATAAATGCACATATATACTTAATATTAAGTCGGCTGTAAATTATATGGAAAAATTAACTTAACGTTGAAAATGACATCGTTACATTAGTTATCAATTTATTTCGTAAGAACTTGTGATAGGACTTGAAATTCTTTAAAAAGTACCAGCCAGTTAAATCTATAGTACATTTAAAACTAAAGCTATAATTGGTCAAACATTCCATTATAATCGGTACAGCTATTTCTCTTATATTATTATCTAAACTTTGGTACATTAATATCCAAAATATAGGTAATTTTGACAAGTATGGGAAATTTTTCTCTCTATTTTACATACGTATTTTGTATTAAAGATACTTATTTTTAGAAAGAAAACGTAAACAACAAACGAATATATATATATATAAGGTATAAGGTTTTAAAATATATATTATCTATAATTTAAAAACATTTTCTTCTATATAAAAGTATTAAGTTTAAAATTGTACCTATCGTTGGGATTAGGTTGGTCTTAAGATAAATCTGTACGTGACTGAACAACGATTCTTTGCCTTACAAATAAAAAAAACTTCGACTATAAAAGTTAGAAATACTGATAAAAAAACAATGTTAAAATAACATATGCTAAGTTGGCGATAAAATAATTTCGTTTGCTTTTATAGATAGCATTATCTATACATATGTTTCAATTAGCCCCCATGTATGTTTCAAGGATGTATGGTGTTCTATGTTACCTAAACACCATAGTAATATTATTTATATTCTTCTTCCTGGCAATTTCCCAGCTTTAGCCAGAGTCTGCCTTACATGTTGTGAATAGTTTTGACGACCGGGCCGCCTGCCTGACATAAACCCTCTTTGGGAATGCATTAATCAGTGATGTCTAAATACTCTTATAAAGTACATATGACTGAAAAATCACATTGGTACTTGCCAGGATCGAACCCGCGCCCTCATGCATGAGATGCGGGCCGTTTTAACCACTAGGCCACCACTGACATTGAATATTATTTATATTAAAGTATAATATTTTTCTAATACTTTCCTTATTTTAAAAGCACTACCATCGTCAGTTGACACATTTTTTCTTTAATCTCAAATGAGATCGAAGGCAATACATATTCAGGTTTAAGATTCCGTAATTACTAACGCCTACGTTATAAATACAATATAGCTCTTATTGCTATGAAAATAAGGGCGTTATATTAATTATACCAAGACCACCGTAGTGTATGTTCCGCACCGGAACTGTTTCAGATTTTATCTCAAGAATTGCTTTGGCATGTGCCGCTTTATTAGTATAAATTCAACCGATTTTATTACTATCTAATAAAAATTCATATGAAAAACATAAAGAAAAATAAACTTTTCATATTATAAGAAATAAAATCTACGTGTATGTTTTTTATATTAGCTAGTTATGTAGCTATAAACAAGCAGAGCGGCTCCTAAGACATGCAAGCTAATGTAATGCAGGAATTAAAAACATTTGAAAACGAAAGCGCCGTAACGACAAAGTAAGCCAGTGATATAAAACCTTTTTTATCGGCCGCGTAAATTCTGTCAATTACGAGGCCGGATTTTCGCTTCGGAAAAAATAAAATTAAAAAAAAAATCAGATCCCGCCTCGCTGCCACTGGCGCCGGTCGGAGATAAGGACTTTGTTTTTTTTCTGTTGATTTTCTTTTGTTTTTTATTATAGGTCCTTTATGGGGGACATTCGATAACGTGTCGGAAGATTAGCCTTTTTTTCTCCACCAACCCGTTCTTTTTAATCTAA